ACAAAAAAGGAAGAAAACCAACAATAAACAACAACACAAATTGGGTTAATTGGTGAAAATTAAGTCCCATGGATGATGTTGGGCAACACTGCAGTATTTTTGCTCACATCAGCAAGTGTCTTCCTATTTTATAATTAGCCTTCTTAAAAAACATCTTACAAAAATACAAAGCCCTAAAGACTCAAAGAAACAAGTTCCCTAGTAAAAGAGAAAAACATTAACGTCTAGTTATTCTTGGCCTCAAACTAACTGATTGAGAATTAGGGGTGGCAAACGGGTCGGGTCGGGTCGGGTCGGGTCGGGTCATAGTTTACCCGACCCGTATAAGTATGACCCGCCCCGACCCGTTTAATAAATGGGTCAATGTGACCCGACCCATTTATTAAACGGTTTACCCGACCCGACCCATATAACCCGAATGACCCGTTTAATAACTTAAGGGTTTTTTTCCGGCCAAAATACAACTTGTAATATATAAATGACAGAGAAACAAAAAGGAACATAGAAAAGATGAAATTTTATTATAAATTCATGAGAAACCCGAGGAACATAGATTTTTTTATCAGTAAACATATCATGATGATTATGCTAATTGCTCATGCACTTAATGATAATGAGCAGACATCTTTAGGAGGCTGAGTATCATGCTTAGAGCATTGCAAGATGTCACACAACACACATGCATGAGAAATTAAGCTGATAGGTAGAAATCATACTCAATTAATGCAATATATTCAGAGTTGAGAAATCGCCAGAAGCACTAAATTTAACCAGTTAGATTTTATCCAGAACCAACATTGTTCAAACTTGCACATAAAAAATGTAATGGTTATGAAAACTCTCAACTTAATCAAAACACCAAGTTCAAATACAAAAAATCCTGATAAATAACAGAAGTTCAATTTTTTCAATTTAAAACAAAAACAAGCTTACCAAATTGATACAAAGAAATTGATCCAAAGAAAGCAAACAGAAAACATCAAAATAATAGCAAACTTGCCAAGGTATTAAAACAAAAAGGGCCAGGAACAAAATCACCAACACATACAAAGTGCTAGCATAAAGATCAAGCAACAGAAAAAAGTTCATTAAAGCACACCTCTCTAGACATAGTTTTATCAATAACTTTGCATAACCCAAGTTTGCAGATAGCATTTCCCTGTTCAGCTATAGCAATTATAACATGAACAATTTTTTGTAAAAGTGTGGCCTCAACAAAAAAGTTACATGCACTAAGGTGTTCAAACACAAGAACTAATTACAGACAGTATTATTTACACACAAAAAATTACAACAGTAACAAACTTCTGCTTCTTCACAAAAGCCAAGAACAGGTGAATTAGCAAGCACAAACTCGATGAGCTTAAGTTCAGATGTGATGCCGCTGAAGTCAGTCACCTCCACAACTTTGAGTTGACTAAATGTGCAGTTGAAACTTTCTTCTTCTTCCCAAAAGCCATCAGATGATATTGTGGCGATTTTCTTGTCTGAGATAGCCTAAAATGGGCATGAATAAATGAATAATTAGTACTTTATAACAAAAAAATCAAGGAGCATGTTCCTTTATAACAAAAGCTACTCTTCAACAACAATACTGTTGATCTGACCTTGAAAGCAAATACAACACACACGTCGTCAATATAATCACCGGACGAAAAGAAACCAGTCGCTGCTCAATTAATGCAATATAATTACCAGTCATGAAACTTTAATGTCCTAGGTGTTATGACTATTATGGTGATATGTTGATATTCAGGATTCAAGGAACTATACAGTCTGCTAACTGTAAAATATATAATGAAAAGAAAGCACAGAATTTAAAGGACGTTGTTATTTGTTTTCCTCAAATGAAAGATGAGAGAAGCTTACTGAAGGACATTTCTTTTTCTCACATATGTGAAGAACCCTCATACAACTTCATTATGGACGGAAAACATTATATTCTGACACATCCAAACACATATTTAACAAGAGAACCGAGTAACTTCCATGTCAAGTTGATCCTTGCTGCAATATAATGTCCATGACATGTGCGCTTGTAACTACATTTGACAATGGAACAAGCTAGCTTTTTCCTTAGCGCCACAAAATATAAAGTATGCAAAATTGACAACAAGGTTTTAAACAAAGTAAAATATGTCAGCTTCCATCAAACTCCCAGTTAAATTTCACAATCAATGTGGTGACTTACTAATTACTAAAACCAATTAGTATTTAGCCAGTCGAATATACATCATTTTCTCACTAAATGATCATCAAAGACAAGCATTGCCTCCTATTGAACAGTAGTTAGATGGGTAATAATTTATTGTTAACTACATGACCTTCAAGGTACCATCCTAGGAAATATTATCAAGTTATGCCTACACAAACTATACAACCTAAAGTGAACATGCTGAGTGGTAATCATAGGTAGTTATGCTTTAGGATGCAGGAAAAGTAGACACCATGCTGAAAATAAAGGGAGGCAGGGGAGCAATAGCATCAAGCACCAAGAAATTTGATTCGCAGATGTGCACTAAAACAAGTTTCATTTCCCCCTGACATTGCAGAGTGCAAGTGCATGAACTAAACAACCTAGGAAGTGTGACCACAACTGATCAGACGTAGATGCATATAATACGTACGTGGTCACAACTGATCCTGGAATTAGACTCCATTAACTGTATTGAAAATTACAAAACTACATAAGATTCATAAAATTAAATAAAATTCAACAGATAACACAAATTCAGCAAAGCAACACTTTAACCGAATAAAGAATCCCTGCCTGTCACATAACTACTTAGTCAGTACAAACACAAAAGGAAATAGTACTTTAAGACTTTCATCATCTTTCTTATTGCATTAAGAAAACAACTTCCTTGTACAAAATGCAACCATAAGTTGCAACCAAAGAGTACTCTGAACTAATCCAAATAATATTCCCAAATTCAAGAGTCTTACCTAACCCAGCTTAAATCATATATCTTTCACCAACTACCCTTTACCAGCTTCAACATGAAGAAATAGTACTTTAAGACAAGAGAACCAGGTCAAAGTCTTCACACATATATACTTATTTAATGAATAAATATAGTTTTCCCTCAACTCAGCCATTAATCATGTCAAATTGTCTTAACTAACTGAAAAATTAGTGCCGTGTGCTTGTTTCGTAGGCTGTTTCTGAAAATTAAAAATACGAAAAGAACAATATATGGTACAAAAAGAATCACTAGATCATAGACTCCCCAAAATTCAACAGATCACAAATTGGGCAATAAATGAGCATGAATGAAACCTTAGAAAGAGGAATAGATTATCTATGATCAAATTAATTTACATGAAAGCCAATGATCAACTCTGGAAACGGAACATTTGAGCCGCACGCTCCTCGCTGCCGCTCGCCGCCGCACGCTCCTCGCTGCCGCTCGCCGCCGCACAGATGGGAAATCTAGGGTTTCGTTTATGAGAGACGAAGAGAGGACGGGTTGCTAGACGAAGGAACGTGACGACCCGACTATTGAATCGCGGTGTTATACGTTTATACGGGTCAGCTCTTTTTGTTATACGGGTCAGGCGGGTCAACCCTAACTTACCCATTTAATAAACGGGTTAGTTCGGGTTGACCCGTTTATGACCCAACCCATATAACTTGATCCATATCTAATATAAACGGGTCGGGTCGGGTCGGGTTGATGGGTTGGGTCAAAAACTGCCACCCCTATTGAGAATCCTATTTCCTTCCCTTTTTTCTGCCTATTTGCGGAGTTTCCTTGCACAAGTTGAGAGTTTATTTCTTCCACTTTTGTACTTTAGAAGGTCTGACTTATAGTATATTCCACGTTTTGTCTTATCAGAACAATGCATATACAAGGATTTACAAAATTTCTTCATATCCATGCAATGTGTGTCCTAATTTTTCAAAATTTGCTATTTTTCTTGTATGCATCATCTTGTATTCGTACAAATATCCCTATATATATGGTTCACAGGTTAAAATTGTGGATATCAATGCATAATAGTTAGAATAAAAAGTCAGTTAGATGGACTTTAAAAAAAAGTGGACCCGACAAAAATTGCAGTCTAAGGTACAAATATAAATAGAAAAAAAGGAGATACAAATAATGTACATGGATGATAGATCCCAATCATGTAGTTTTGATGCATCAATACTTTCCTGCCACTAGAAACAAAAGCAATCCCAAGTCACAACTATACCAAGACTACATCTTGAAACTCGAACTAAACCAGAAAACCTGATTATTGATTATATTGACACTTATTAATGTTAGGAGAATTATAGAGATTAATCTGTGGAATTAAACACTAAACAAATAACGACACTAATAAAAATATCACAAGCAAGCAAACCCCAAAATTTAATGTGGTTCGGCAAATCGTACCTACGTCTATGGGACAATCCAGAGAGAAATATTTTGCTATGAATCAAGAATACAATCCCTCCAAGTTACACCTAAACTTGAGAATTAAATCACAGGAGAAAGATACAGTGTTATTACCTCTAGGGCACCAAAACCCTAAAACCCGTCTCGCCGAAAAATCTCTAACATCCGAGGAGAAACCAACACCGTACCCGCAACGGTGTCGTCGTTCTGAAGATAACGGCTTTTGAATCACTACAATCAGACAATCGAGCTATCCGAAATCTAAACTTTTCTCTCTCTCTTTTTTTCTCTCTTCCCACTTTTTCTCTCTCGGGTTACTGTTCATGGTTTACTGTAGTACCGAAAAAATTACAGGTTCCTCATGAATAGAATTCCTTTATAAAGAAATTGTATTTTCAGGTTCTCTAAACATATTCCTATTACAACTAGATCCTCCAAATCATTTTCTAAATAGAATTTTAATTCATGTGGACCTCATGTGGGCCTTATCTTGGGCTGGACTCACAACAATCTCCCCCTCCAGCCCAACGAGGGGGTATACCAATGTGTAACTCCTCAACGGGAGTTCATATTGGCCAATCGCCGACACAACTCGGACTTCTCTCTGGAAACAGTCTTCGTTAAAAAATCTGCTGGATTTTTATCTGTGTGAATTTTTTGTAGCTTTAGTTCCTCTTTCTCAACGGCTTCTCTAAGCCAATGATATCTCACATCAATGTATTTCGTCCTAGAGTGGAATATAGAATTCTTGCTCAAATCAAGAGTACTTTGACTATCAATGAAGATTTGATAATTGTTCTGCTGTAAGCCAAACTCCTGCAGAAATCTTCTCAACCAAATCATCTCCTTACCGGTTTCTACAGCTACAATATTCTACCTCTATTGTAGATAAAGCAACACACTTCTACAATCTGTACTACTAAGATACTGCTCTCCCTGCAAAAGTGAACAACCAACCTGAGGTAGACTTCCTGTGATCGAGATCACCTGCCATATCCGCATCTGCAAAACCATAAAATACTGCCTTCGAACCTCCAAAACTCAAACACAATCTGGAACTGCCTTTCGAATATTTTAAGATCCACTTTACACATTCCCAATGAACTTTCCCTGAATTAGAAAGAAACTTGCTCACAACATTAACTGCATGAGCTATATCTGGCCGAGTGCAAACCATAGAATACATCAAACTTCCAATAGCTGGAGAGTAAGGAATATTCTCCATCTCACTTTTTTCCTCATTTGTAGTCGGGAAAAATTTTTTGCTAAGCTTTAAATGACCTGTAAGAGGAATATTGACTGACTTGGCATCTTTTACGTTGAATCTATCATGTAGTCGTTCAACATATTTCTCATGTGATAACCATAACTTCCTAGCTTTCCTGTCATGAACAATATCCATACCAAGAATCCACTATGCCGAGCCTAAATCCTTTATGTCAAAAGATTTAAATAACCCCTTCTTCAGCCCACCTATTATCTGACTATCCTGACCAACAATCAACATATCGTTCACATAAAGCAAAAGGATAATGAAGCTAGAATCTGAGATTCTCCTGAAATATACATACGAATCTGCAATTGTCCTCTAGTAGTCATGACTCAACATGAAAGCATTAAATTTCTTGTACCACTGCCTGGGTGCCTGCTTCAAACCATAGAGGCTCTTATTCAACTTGCAAACTATGTGTTCTTTTCCATTCACTTCAAAACCCTCCAATTGCTCCGTGTAGATCTCCTCTTCCAAATCACCATGAAGGAATATAGTCTTTACATCAAGCTGCTCAATCTTGAGGTCTAAACTAGCTGCTAACCCCAAGATAACTCTAATGGACGTCATCTTCACAACCGGTGAAAAAAATCTCATCAAAATCAGTGCCCTTTTTCTGACCAAAGCCTTCCACCACTAATCTGGCTTTGTATTTTTGAATCTCTTTGTAGCCATCCTTTTTTTACTTAAACACTCACTTGTTCTTCCAAGCTTTTGTCCTTCGGTAAATCTACCAGCTCATAAGTATCGTTCTTCTCAAGAGACTTTATCTCTTCCTTCATAGCCCGGAACCATCTGTCCTTATCTTTATGAGTATGTGCCTCCTGAAAACTTTCTAGCTCCCCCACTTCTGTCAGCAAAAAATACTCTGAAAGAGGATATCTCGTGGATGGTTGATGCTCTCTAGTTGATCTCCTAAGTTGTGGCTCTACAAACTTCTGCTGTTGGTGATGCTCCCCTTACTGAGGAGCCTCCTGCTCTGTTATCTGACCATCATTATCAACATCATCATCATACACCTGCTTTATATCTGTAGGATGCAACTATACTGGAGACGAAATGAGTGTCATATCTGGAATCCTACTAGCAACACTTTCTAACTGCTCTGCTCTCTCGAGATCTGCAATAGTCTGATTCTCCTGAAAAATCATATCTACTCGTCTGATAATTCGTCTCTTTTCTGGATCTCATAGTTTGTAGCCGAACTCATCTTCTCCATGTTGGCCTTATTATTTTGATGATGTTTAATAAACAATTTACTACTAATGTTGTTTGTCTAGTGTTTGTGTATTTCTATTTATTATAGACAAACAACAAGTTGGAGGATGGATGGAATTGTACCTACACGATCATATCCAATGGAGGTTAGAGGAATAGTGGGTGAAGCTTACGCAATTCAAAGTTAAAGATTCAAATTTAAGCTTCATCCGCAAGTGTACCAAGTCAAGCTTATTGAAGATCAAGATTGTTTGGGTAACATTTAGTTTAGGTTATATATTATGTGTGTTGGTACTTTAAGCTCAATCATATACACACATACACGTTTTGGTTTTGTATATATATAGTTTATATATATGTATATGTTTTGGTTTGATAGTTTTCAAGTTTTAATATGAAACAATTTAATATAATTAGAAACATATTTTTGTTTCATACTTATATGCATTTATATGATTTCATCAATATCAATTTTATTTAGTTCAATGAAATCATGTTTTAGTGCATTATATGTGTATTTTTATAAAATACTATATTCATTGTTTATAGACTTTATAACAATAGTTTACATCTTTCTTCAAGTCTATAAAATCATTATGTATTGTTTCAAAACATGGTTAAGCTAAAATGTCAAAACTCATATGTTCACATTTTTATGTTTTGGATTATTTTGCAAAATGATGATATTTTTCATTTGGGAGGTCCTTCTTGAAAACCAGTTTTTGTAGCATGTGTATTATCATGTCTACAATCATTTTCCAAAGTTTTATATTTTTTAGAATTTATTTGATATTTTTAAATAGGGTTTTAAAATAAGAAAACTATTTATAAACTTGTTCATTTTCATGTATCTGTTTGCGATCGACCGCTACGGTCGATCGCCCTTGAGTCCAAAGACTCAGTATGATCTTTTTTGGCTCGCGGTCAACCGTGGTGGTCGACCGTATGCAGTCCAGAGAATTTCGCGGTCGACCGTCACGGTCGATCGTCTGTTTTCCAGAGCTCAGTTTTGTCTTTTTTGTTGCTCGTGGTCGACCGCCGAACTGACCGTTGGGTTCCAACGGCTATTTCCTGCACCTGTTGTTTGGGGCTTTTTGGTCTTTTGTTTGGGGTTTTTGGCTGAGGTTTTAGGAGGCTATAAATACCTCATTGATCTCAGTTCTCAATATAACTAAGAGAGTGTTTTAAAACAAGTTTAAAGAGTTTTAAATAAGGGTTTAAGTTTGTTTAAGAAGCTTTTAAGCATTTGGAAGTCTGAGTTTGTGAAATCAATTTCACAAGAGCTTGAGGAGATCATCTATCAGTGTTTGGGCATCCAACTATTCTCCCTCTACATCTTGATCTATTGAGAAGTTTTCTAAACTCTATTTCTAGCTTTACATCTATTTATTTGATTATCATTTTATTAAAGCTAATTTTATATTGAGTTTAGTTGATTTGATTTCACTCATTGTTTACACACACCCACTTGAGCTTATTGT